CTTACTGTGGGTAGTTAGTAGATTCCTGAGAAGGGTGTTTGTCAAAGGAAATTTTAGGGGAATCACCACCAATATGAGTTACAACCGCACCGATGAGCAGTTCACCTGGCTGGTGCCACTCATGGGGAATATGAAGGGGTTCTGTCTGCACACACTTCAGACTATGTATCTTGTACGCCACATGACAGAACAGGAGCAGCACCAAAGATTCCATCTTGATGATGGCAAAGTTTCATTCCAGATGCAGACTCTCCTGGTGTCCTAGTTTTCTCCAGGAGTTCCAGAAGGTGGCTTGGACGGCAGCTGGCACTTCAAATGAAATTCTGAACCTGGCGTTTACCAGCTTTGTCATCTGACTGAATGGGGTGCAAAAAGGAAATGTTGCATGCCAGCTGAGGAGTGTCGATTAAAGATGATGTCTCCAGTCCCTCATCTTAGCTATGACAGATGCACAGGAGTTTTTATAACTACACATTTCAGATGCTCATTTTTTATGTATCCTGGAGAGCCATTGCAGCTCTGACAGGGCAGATCAATTACAGTGATTTTGATCATTACAGGGGAGATAATCACACTACACTTTTTTTTTTGAGATCTGTGTACAGTTCTTTGTGTCAGAATGTGGAAGCAAACATGGTTTTCAGATTGCACCAGAATTTCTATGTACTAAAGTGGCAACATTCCATAATAAGACTTAGGAGGGAATCAAATGGGAAATGGGCATGCTTGGAACAGAAGTGACAGTACTACAAGGGGATACTTCCTCCCCTGCAACCAAATTCTTCAAGGACTGAATGATCAAACCTCAATCACATCCCACACCTGAATCTAAATTCGTGAGATATCTGCAAGACATCATACAATTTTTATTCTTGGCAGACTGAGGACCAAACTAGGCTATATTATGTGAGATACGTGGCCAGCTCTCACTATCTTTTCAATGGCTAAAAACAGGGGCTCACATGTCATCTGGATTAGGATACAATTCCATGAATTTTAGAAGTCTAGCAAAAGTTGATGTTTGCCTAGGGGAAATGTACAGGAATTTTATGAGATCAGGGATGATTTTCCCATTCCCACTTTTGTTCAGTGATTCATTGATGGTGTAAGGAAGGACAGGAATCCTTCTTCACAATGTGGTGAAGGGGTGTACAAGGAAGAGGTGTGTTCAACCATGATGCCTACTTTGGCCTTAAGTGTCTGAGCTGCAAACAAATAAATCTTGAATTCTTCTATCATAATCTTAGGCGGCAGCTTTAGGAATATATATTCTCTCATCTACTCCCAGCCTACAGGAAGGTTGGATCCTGTCTTTGGTGGGAGGGACATTAGAATGTTGGATCTAGCCTTTGGTTGGAGTCTCTCTTTCAGTTCATTGGGCAAATGATATCTATTTTTACCCTCCCCTTCTCCATTTAATCCTCATAACATCCTCGCTACATGACAGCCTTCAAACCATTTAGCTTCTTTTCATATTTGTCAAATAAATCAGAAACAAAAGTAGGATAATGTCAGCTTCTGGAAAATCATCTCCAATTCACAAATCAAGACTTCTAATGCTCCCAATCCTATCTCTGCAGAAGCATGAGAAGAGCATTATAACAGCTTATTTAGAGATCAGCAGTATCTTGCTCCTCCTGATATTCTTTTAGATCACTCCACACAATGGCCTCCAGTCTCTGTATCTGAGACCACCTTGTTGTCAGCAAGCTGCCAATGGTTCTTGGACCTCCTATATGTATTTGGTACCTGTATTTGCCAATGTACCTTTTCTGTAAGTTCCCCCCCCCCAGTAGTCAGCCCATTTACCCATGTGCATATATTCATAGCTGCATTCTTGTTAGTCTACGCCAGGCCTGTCTGCTGTAACGTTATCATTTCCAAGGTCACAGGTGGTTAAGAGATGGAGGTGGCTCTCTGCTTTGCTTTGTTTTAATAAGTAGAAACTGTGAGAAGTATTAAGCAACAAGATGATTGGTGTGACTTATTACCTCTGGCTGAGTACTGTTATAACAACACTTGCCATGTGTCCATTGGCATGTCCCCTTTTAAAGCACTGTATGGCTATGACAGCCCTCCTATGCATTTTTTTTGGGGGGGGCAGGAATTGGGGACGGGTGATGCAAGTATGTGGTGTAAACAACTGCAGGAGGCATGGCCTCTCCTCTGCAAGACACTGGATGCTGCCAAGGCAGCTTACAAGAAACAGGCCGATAGAGGTAGGGTGGAGGGTTGGGCTCTGCGGCCTGGGGACTTGGTGTATGTGTCTACCAAAAATATCAAAATGTTGCGTCCCAGCAGGAAATTGGACTGGAAATTTATAGGACCTTTTAAAGTGCAAAGGTTTATCAATGAAGTCACTGTTGATGTGGAACTGCCTAAGAATTTGAGATCCTTACATTCTGTATTTCATTTCAGCCTTCTGAAGAAACACAATGGGTCCTGCCCCTGGCGAGGGGACAATGTACCGCCACTGCCTGTCCTGGTGGATGGCCAGGAACATTACGAGATAGCGAGTATTCTAGACTCTAAGCTGAAATGTGGTAAACTGTTTTATCTGGTGGAATGGAAAGACTTCGGACCCCAGCACCTTGAATGGGTGGAAGTAGGGGATATTCGGGCCCCTCACATGCTGCACAAGTTCCATCGGAATTTCCCGGGGAAACGGGGAGGTCTCCCGGCCTGACCGGGAGATTGTGGTGGGAAGTGAATTTTCGGGAGGGCAGTATGTCAGCAAGCTGCCAATGGTTCTCGGACCTCCTATATGTATTTGGTACCTGTATTTGCCAATGTACCTTTTCTGTATGTTTTTCCCCCCCTCCCTAGTAGTCAGCCCATTTACCCATACACATATATTCATAGCTGCATTCTTGTTAGTCTACGCCAGGCCTGTCTGCTGTAACATTATCATTTCCAAGGTCACAGGTGGTTAAGAGATGGAGGCGGCTCTCTGCTTTGCTTTGTTTTAATGAGTAGAAACGATGAGAAGTATTAAGCACTGATAAAGAAGTTACCGTTGTGTTCCCAGTGACTCATGGCTTCAATAAAGTAATACCTTTTTACAAGTGTGTACTCCGTTGATTGCGGTGGGACCTGACACTTGTTAATATCACAACTGAAATCTGGAAAAGCCCCAGGAGGTTGACTTGCTGAGCTTTTAAAATTGCACATAGATTGGTGGGCTCCAGATTCCTAAAGACTGGGGCTTGGCTATAATTGTTCCTTTATTTAAAAAGGGTAGCCCCTATGGCCCATTGAACTACAGGCCAATTAGTCTTCTGAATGTGATTTGTAAGTTATATACTTAATACCTCTGTCCGAAGCTGTGTGAATGGCTAGATCATAGCAAATTACTGGTTTCACACCTGGGCGCGCTACTATTGATCATTGCTTGGTCCTAGATTACCTCAAGGCAGCCTTTGATTCTGTTTCTATGTGAAGGCTTTGGGCCAAATTGCCTGACATGGGTATCGATAGAAGGCTATTGCTTTTATTAATTAAACTGCATGAAAATAATACTATCCAAATAAGACTCACACAAGATGGGAAACTATCGAAAAGAATTCCAGTGCAAAAAAAAAAAGAGTCAGACAAGGTTGCCTTCTGGCTCCTTTCTTATTTAACTCTTTGATCACATGCCTTTATTCAGTTGATGCTCATGCTCCCTCATTCTCAGGTAGCAGAAAGGTTCCAATATTAATGTATGCTGATGATGCTGTTCTTTTATCCCAGACAAGGATTGGCCTGAAGTGAGCCCTGATAAAAATTTAAAGAGCAATGTGACTCCGAATTATTAACTATTCATTTTGCTAAAACTAAATTTGTCCATTTTGGTAACCCATTCAGGAAGTTCAACTGCAATATTAAAGGAAATGCCATAGATCAAGTTAAGAACTTTCAATACTCAGGCATTACCTTTTCATATAATTCCAAATTCTCAGCACATCTATCCTCATCAGCTAACCTGGCAGAGAGAAGTGCAAATGCCATTCTTAGATTATTTATAAGGAAAGGTGCAGGTTTTCTCTCCATGGCCTTAAAAACCTTCCAGGCAAACCCATTGGCTCAACTCCGGTATGGTTCACAAATTGGACTTTCTGCCAATCTAAAGACCCTTGAAAGGGTTCAGTCTAAATTTCTTAGATCTCTATTTGGCGTTCCTAGAAGCACTTCTACTGTAACACTTAGACAAGAGGCTGAGCTACTCAGAGTTGAAGCAAAGGTCTGTGAGCAGGCTATAACACTCTGCCTAAAAATTCATTACAACCCAAAAGGTTTAATACCTTACCTTTTAGCTTCAGACCCATACCCTGCCTGGTCCACACAAATTCTTAATAAATTAAATCAGATTGGCCTATTCCCAGAAGATCTCTTCTATTGAAGCCTATACAAGGCAAGAACAGCTGTCGCGCAGAGGGTTCATGATACTGAATTACAAAATGAAGAAACTTCACTACTCAAGAACTTCCAAAATATAAAATCTTGGCCTAATTTTACTGCTGCCCTTTATTTAGTTAACATTACCTATGAGCCCTATAGATGGACCTTTTCCAGAGTCCGTTTTGAGGCACTCTCTTCCACTATACTGCAAGGTAAATTCACTCGAGTTCCAATGCATGAACGTATATGCCCATGCATGGCTAATATGGTGGAATCAGTTACTCATGTCCTCCTGGTTCTGCAGATTCTATCAGGAGGAACGAGACCATCTTCTTATATTGCCCCTTCTGTCTAGATTTAGCTCTCTGCAGTCTTATCTTGACTTTAGGCCAGAAGTCCTTTGTAAATTCCTCTTAGAAGACGTTCAGAGCTCAGTGACTTACTCTGTGGCAAAATTTTGTTGCTTAGCTATTAGGAAATGTAAACTTATTTTAGCTGAAAAAATTGTGTGATTCTCTTAATATTATTTTATTTTACTAATTTTATTAATTTTCTCTTGTTAATGTTTTTAGACAACTCCTATGTTATTACTGTTTTAATCTTTCTTATATCAGAACTGTACTGTTTTACTGGCTCTTGCTGTAATACATTAGATTATAGATCAATGCTGTTGTATTTTACATGAGCAGCCACAACTGTGTTGATGAAACAAACTGTTTTGTATTTTACAGATGAAATGAAACAATTCCCCAAAGAGGCAAATGTAGCACATATAAAAATCCCTACTACTGAATCTATAATCACTTTAAAAAAGGCTGTGACATACTTGAATGAAAACCATCTATCTATCTATTTCTTACATTCCCTATATTTAAGGAATTACCACCATATATTATTTTCACATTTGTTTCTTGTCTTTTAAAGGCAACTCTTTCTTTGTCATAAAAGTCTAACAATGTTTCAGTCAATATTTCGATATGCAGTGTAGCTACTGCTTTCCTCTCTCTCGAAGAAGTTTTCACATTCTATTTTGTAGATTTACATGCATCACTAGAATGTTTGATTCCTTTATTTTATCCATTCAGCAGAGAGTCAGCATGGAACCTCCTTGATGGGCTTTGAGCCCCTTCCCCATTTTAGTAATGACTTCTACCATGGAAATCAGGAAAAAAGAACTTATTATACAGGCAGTTGTTTCCTCACCCATAACATCTGGAATAAAAAAGAATATTTTGGAATAGACCACACTGACTCTTTCAATAGATTAGACTAGCACTGCCATGGTCATTCCCAGGATACTTCAGCACAAACAGAACTAACAACAGAGCAGGTGGATGGACTATTAAATATCATAATGCTTTTTTCTTACCAGCTGCTCTCTGCTGTTCAACTCAGGCCTCAGTATTATGATATAGCATTTGGGAGAAAAGATACAGCACAGTAAGCTAGCACTGGAGGCCAAGATGGAGAAGATCTCCATGGCCACCATGTCTTTTCCTCTGGTGCTCAGGTAGCTCGGGACAAAGGACAGCCAGACACTGCAAAAGATTAACATGCTGAAGGTGATGAACTTGGCTTCATTGAAAGTGTCAGGCAGCTTCCTGGCTAGGAAAGCCACAGTGAAGCTGATGGTGGCCAGAAAGCCCATGTAGCCCAAGACACAGTAAAACATGGTGACTGACCCTTCATTGCATTTCACTATGATGTTTTCCATCACTGAGTCCATGTCCAGATCTGGGAATGGGGGAGAAATACTCAACCAAAGACTACAAATACCTACTTGAACAAGGGAGCAGGAAATGACAATTGAATACATCATTCTTTTCCCCATCCATTTCCTGACAATACTTCCTGGTTTGGAGGCCATGAAAGCCACAACTACTGTCACAGTTTTTGCCAAGACAGAAGAAACAGCAACTGAGAAGATGATTCCAAACAATGTTTGTCGGAGCAGACAGGTCAACTCATTTGGCTGTCCAATGAATAGCAGAGAGCAACTGAAGCAGAGAAGGAGCGAGGTGAGGAGAATGTAGGTGAGGTTGCGGTTGTTGGCTTTGACTATGGGAGTGTTCTGGTGCTTAATGAAAATTCCGAGCATCAAAGCTGTGATCAGCGAAAAGAAGAGAGCCAAGCAGGCTAACAGAATGCCCAGAGGTTCTTCCAAGGAGAGGAAATTTGGAATTTTGGGGATGCATTGATCTTGACTACTGCTTGGATATTGATCTTCTGGACAGGCAACACAGTATTCCATGTCTGAAAAAGGAAGGATGTCTACTTAAATTTTCTAAGCAGGCATATGAAGCAGATATGAGGTAGTAAATTACATTTAGCTCCATAACTAAGGCTCTGAGTGACAACAATTTTTTGAAAGTATCCTAACATGATAGAAAAATCATGGGATGCCAGGGACTGAACAGTTTTTCTACATCAGTATTGTATACTCTAAAGTGGCTATCGATCCTTCTCTCAAGGACAGAAAGGACCAAATAAATCTCCTCGTGGTTGAAAGATTTTTGACACTCATTTTTCATAGTTCATAATATCAGTACAATCCTAATCAGACATTACACCCCTCCAAGCCCATTCTTGTCAATTTGACCTAGAACAATGATATTCTTCTTAGAATTGCATTGTACCTCTGAAATCCCCATAATACCTCTGCAGAATCTGTGAAGAACTAAGGAAATGATTATGAACTGATGTTAAACAGAATCATTAGCATGTTTTTCATATTGCTTAAAATACCGATATTCAAATACCCCCAGGTCCAACCCCAGCAGTTAGTTCACTAAAATGCTTTCTATTTATCTCGAGGAGTATTTGTAACAATTCATCTCCTACCCTCTTGGTTTGACATCTTCCCTTCTGGACATGAAGCACAATCATAGCAGCAAAATTTCTCTCCCTCTTTCTTTTTCCTGCTGTATCCTGGCTTGCAGTGGTCATTACAGACAGAGAATGGAGGCACCTATTCTGGGGAAATAAGAGAATGTAGGCTTCAAAAAGCACTTTAGGGTCGACTGAATATACAGAAATATGATATCTGAGATCTCCAGGAGGGCACATCAATTGTTATAAATACTTACTGAAGGAGAACCCCAACATGGTACCCTTGGGATTCATTGTACCAGCCAACATTTTTCTTGGGATCTGCTAGGTTTTTTTTAGAAAGTGTGTGTGGCCAGTTGTGGCTTTGCCCCAGGCATCTATTCAGTGAAGACCTGAGACAACAGCTTGTGTTTAACTAGTAGATTTAATGCATTAATATGATCTGCATCATAAATATGCTAACATATTTAAACTGGTGGGCTGTGCTAGACATCCTGTGCTTCCTTTTCTGGCAGATCCACCCTTACTGTAAACACAGCCAGGATCTTTTTCTGGGTTCGTTTATTATTGCCTATACAAAATGTGCCAAGATGTGCCCAGCTACAGCCCCTCACTGGATGCACTGTACAGCCACTACCAGGTTCAGAAAGATGTTGCTCAGCACCAAGCACTGTTCCTTCCCAGCCACACTCTGCTGCACAGCCAGTGATGCACTGTTCCAGACACTACCTCCAATCTTTTGGATATCTCAGACTGCTTGCCAATCATTCCTACCTATTGTGATCAGCCCGCCTGGTTTGAGCGTGAGAGCATCCAGGCTAAGATAGAGCTTATAGAATGCTTTAAAGCATTTCAATCTAACCTCACCCTGGATACTAAAATTGAAACTCAAGCCAAGAAAAGAGCCTACTAAATCCTGTTGAAAAACAAAAAGATGGCAGCCACATACCTTTTATGGCAACCACTTATTAAGGCTACTATGTTCAAAGATAATATAAGTTTTTGGAAAATGACTTCTGGCTTACAGGGAAGCAAAGTTGATACTCTGGCAAGTTCTAGACAAGTGGAGGTCTGGGAAAACCATTTTGCCACTTTGTATGAGGACTGACAATATAAACCACCCATTATTAACTCCTTAAGAGATGTTCCATCATGGTTGCCAGTTAGAGTAAGTGAAGTCACATTGCTGATATTGCAGTTGAAAAATGGTTAAGCCCCAGGAAGTGATTTTATAGTAGCCGAGCTACTTACATCACATGTAGAGTAGTGGGCTCTGATACTGGCCAATCTCTTCACATATATAGACTCAACAGCATGAATACTGAAAGACTGGGCCCGAGGCCAGCAATGGCGGCCAGAGAAATTACCGGACCAGAGCATGCAAGGACTTAAGCAAAAGGACTCTCCCTATGGAATGACACCCAGAGGGAAAAAAATAGTGAGTGAGCAAGTTTCAAAAGAAAGACAAAAGTAAAGAGGGTGGAGGAACTGACAGCGAGACTTCAAAGCCCCATAGAGAAAGGGGGGGAACTCTCGGGAGGAAGAACTCTATTCTACAGCATAAAAAGCAGTGAAACGGGAAGCAAACCAACAACAAGCTCTTAGAAACCCACCCAACCCAAGCGGATTGCAGCAGGGCTCGTTGTTCAGTCCACAGAAAAACTGTAGAACTTTTAAGAACTTTTACCTTAATGTAAACAATGTTGCATCATGGGGGGGGAATGGCGTTCAGAGGTAGAGGCACCACAGGAAGTGCCAGCACAGCATCACCAGTCACAAGACCAGAAACTGCCACCAATATAGCTGGTACGATTTCTGAAGCCTTGTGCCCCCTGCTGGATCAGCTGACGAATCTCAATAAGAAATTTGATGATTTGCAGAAGGAGCTGAAGGAGACCAAAGATAAATCAAAGAAGATGGACAAAAAGCTAAAAAAGGTTGAAACTAAGACCAAAGAGATGGATCAAAGAATGGACATTGCTGATAAAGAAAAAGCTTCTGAAAAACAACAATTACTACAATTACAAATGGAAAGATCCGTATATGTTTTAAAATTTCAAGGGGTACCAGAAAAAAAAGATGAAAATTTAAGAGAAATCCTAAGTGAAGCATTGGCCCCCTTGATTAACAGCAAACCTGAAATATTGCAAGCAGACATAGATATGATTTATAGAACTTATTCAGAGTTTGTTAAAAAAAAAACTTCCATGGGAAATATTTGTTAAATTTGCAAAAAGATCAACAAGAGACTTGATACTTAAAGCTTCTACTGTCATAACATTAAAAATCCAAGAGGAAGAGATAAAAATATTGAAAGATGTTCCATTTGAAATACGTAAGAAGAGGAAGCAATATAGAAACATCACAATATTCCTTCAAAAGAGCAATGTCCAATACTGATGGATTTTACCAGAAGGTCTTATATTCAACTACAAAGAGAAGAAGGAAAAGATTGACTCTCTCTCTAAAGCAGAAGCATTCCTGACGCAGCATCAAACTCCGACAAAAAGACAGAAAGAAAAGAAGCAGAGGAAAAGAAGGTGACAGAAGAAAACAGCGATCATCAGACATCAGCCACTGACAGCTCTTCATCTACTTCAGTGTCCCTGGGTGAAATCTTTGACTGTGACTTTGATTCTGATTTGGGAGATGCTGCACCCAGATCTTACAAGGTTAAAATCCCCTGGCAAAAGAAGAAGAAGAAGAAGAAGCGCAAAGACAAAAAGACATCCAAATGATGTTCTGAGATCTTTCTATGTTAAAGTTTAAAGAATTTATATTATTGCCCTTATGCAATACTAAAATTAAGAAACTTTTGTTCTTTCTATTTGAATACTTATTACTTAGAAATTAAATGATATATTGTAAACATGAATATGTAGGGTAGGGAAACATCCAAAGCGCAAGATAGATTAATGTACCTTGCTACTCTGAATTTGTAGTGTGTCGTTTGGTAGTTTATAGTGAAAAGCAATAAAAAATTCTAAAAAAAATACATATGGCATTGAATCTACCTTTATCTTTCACCATGGCTACCAACCTGAATCTATCTCCTTATACCATGGACTTTCAAATAGAACATGCTTCAGAGTTTCCATGACTTCTTAGCCACAACTGCAATATCTGTCTGAAAATAGTATACCAAATACATGGCCTATAGAGATTGCAGATGGTAGCACATTTAATTTTCTGAACATAATTGCTTGCCTGTATCTTGGAATTGTAAGGTTAAACGAATATTTTGGGATTGTAAAGTGTGGTGGGATTTCCATACACAGTAGATAAAAAACACCTAGCTTGGCAGATGGTACTATTGATATTCTTCATAATCAACTGCTTGATAGTCTTATGGGCTAAGGGGTCACCCATACATACACGTGTTAGCTTTTCATGCCATGAAATTCTAGCTTCATTAATGGTGAGCTCCTTTCCTGGAGGACCCGAAGGATCCAGCCTTCCAACCTTGATGCGGACATAAGAGTTGTTTGGAAAAGTGACCAAGTTTGTAATATCAAACCCACTTGCTAGTTCTCCATGGTCATTGAACACAATTTCATCTCCAGCACTGTTATTGAATGAAATCCAATGAAGAAATGAGTGGAGCTAGGCCAAATGAGGAAAAGAGATATAGAGTATTAGAATATTGTAATGATTAATGATATGCTGATTGATGCATTTCACACCAACTTACAGTATTGAAAACATGACAGGGTATCTAAGTCATGGGGACAGAGTACCTTCCAGGGCATCACATTCTTGCTTTCCTGTGTCTTCCCATCCTTTATGTGCATGAAATGTAAGGCATATGCCATAGCATAAACTATGTTATAGATGCTGTAGCTGTGGCCAGTCATGCTCATTTCAAAAAGTGTTGCTGGAATACTCTCCAGTCTCTCTTCTCCACTACATAATTCATTATTCTCTGCAGACTTTCTAGAACTGGGAAAAGAACAATCAAATTCTTCTTCCCAGAAGTTCTTGAAAAAACCATCCTTGTTTGTCCATGGAGGTTTTACAGTCTGAAGAAATGTTTGGAAACCTGTTAACTCACTGGAGTGAATTGTGAAGGAAAGAGCACCATGAAACATTTCTATGTCCCAGGATGTTTGAGTGCTTGTGAAAGTGAAATCAATCTGGGCAGTTGTTATCCACACTTTTCCTGCAGAGCTTCTCTCTGTATACTCCAAATCAGCTAGAGACCGTAACCATATAACAGTTGCCAGCCATATAATATTGGATGTTTCTCCATGTACAATAATTGCATTGGCTTCGCTTTCTAGGAAAACTGAACTATTACTGTAAAAATTTTGAATGTTTTCAGCTCTGATATCCATATGTTGTTTTGTAGCTGCTCTTTCTGTGAAGGCTGAACAGATCCCATTCTTAGAAAGCATTGGCTCAATTTCTTGCAAGAAAAGTTCCCCAGCTTGGTCTTCTGTAGTGATGAGCCCAACCCATTTCCATCTGAAATGTAGAAGCAACTGAACAATTCCCACATACTGAAGGCCTTCATTGGGGACCATGCGGTAAAAGGAAGGGAAATATGTTCCATAATTTGTTGTTGTTTCAAATGATCCATATGAAATCTAAGAGACATAAATTGGAGAGAGAGATGAGAAGGAGTATCTGAGAATAATAATTTTATTTCCATTTCCCAACTTTCTAGGTATTGGGGATACCTTGCTCTACTTACTCTTCCAGGTAAGGAACTTATTGACTTGATGGCTGGACTTGGTCAGAAACTCTGCTCTGCGACTGATCAGGGTTGGCATGTGAGTGACTTTTAAAAGGCCCGATCACCGCAGACTGTGACAGCAGTCATGAAATTAAAAGATGCCTGCTCCTTGGGAGGAAAGCAATGGCGAACCTAAACAGCATGATAAAAAGTAGAGACATCTCCCTGCCAACAAAAGTCCATATGGTCAAAGCAATGGTATTCCCAGTAGTCATGTATGGCTGTGAGAGTTGGACTATAAGGAAAGCCGAGCGCTGAAGAATAGATTCTTTTGAACTATGGTGCTGGAGAAGACTCTTGAGAGTCCCTTGGACTGCAAGAAGAACAAATCAGTCAATCCTAAAAGAAATCAACCCTGACTGTTCCCTGGAAGGCCAGATAATGAAACTGAAGCTCAAATACTTTGGCCACCAACTGAGAAGGGAGCACTCACTGGAGAAGACCCTGATGCTGGGAAAGATTGAAGGTCAAAGAAGATGGGGACAGCAAAGGATGAGATGGTTAGACAGTGTCATCGATGCAACGAACATGAAGTTGAGCAAACTTCAGAGGACGGCGGAAGACCAGAAGGCCTGGCGGGAGCTGGTCCATGGGGTCGCAAAGAGTCGGTCTCGACTGTGCGACTGAACACCACCACCACCAACACTTGTGTCCAGTAGTTTCTTCCTACCTCTCTTGCTCACCAGGATAGGATTGCTGGTTGTTTAGGGGGTGAACAGTTGTGTTTTGTGCCCATTTCCAAATAACTGGTGAAAGTGTAATATTACATTGCAGGCTCTGAGTGGCTTGGCATTAAGTAGGCCTGTGGTTTGGACTGATTAGGCATTAAGTGGGAAGTCCTATATAGTACAGGTGTGTGCTTAATGGTAAAAGTTTAGGGGAGTATCCTCTGACATGTCATCAAACCACCTTCTCATTGCTGACCAGTCAGAAGGGACAGGGAGGGGAGTTCCTTGGTGCTGGAATTTCACCATTGAAAATGTATGGATGGCCAGCAACAGATGGAGGTGGTGGACAAGGAATGCCTCCTCTTGATGTACTATGTAGGATGCAGGCTTAAAAAAAGTAAAAGGAGCTTTAGACACTATTCAGTTCTAGGAGCCAAAAGCGGGTTGCAAGAAAACTGATGATCCTCCACACACCCTTCCTTGGTCTCCTTCCTGAAGAGTACCTGAAAAGTGGTGGGAAGGATACTGAGTGTGAAAGAGAATGTCCTACTTGTTTTATCCCTTCCCAGCCTACAGGGTAGTGTGCCAGACATCAAGTTCTGCCCTTCCTTTTAGTATCTGTTGGTTGAAACGCCAGTAAAGGCTATGTTTGTGTGTGCATGCCACTTCACACAGTTAAAAATGATGTGATGATTTGTGGTTTTGATGAATAAAGGATGTAGATAATAAATAAAAGAGAGCCTTTCTTTGTAACCATGGAGTAAGAGAAAACTTTGTAACTACACCTATATTTGCTGCAGAGAGAATCGGAAGCCTCCTTTACTTTATGTGGGGTGTCAGGTAGAGGTCAGGACTTTGTACAGCAAAGTCTGAGTCAAAATCTGTGAAAACTAGTGTATCCATAATTCTTCAGAGAGTTTTAGAACATTTCATAATAAAGGAAACCTTAACAATGAAATAGTGGAGAGGGGAAAAGTAAACCAGAGAATTAAATATGAATTCAGAGGAGCAGATTAATTAACTGAAAAGCTTGGGTAAAGAAAAGTCCTTTTCAACCTGCATCTAAAAGAGAACAATTGAGATTTCCGGTTTTGGCGATTCGCTGGATGGGTGTGCTCACATCACACTCTGATGTGAGTGACCTAAATTGTGGCAGATGGGAGGGTGTGTGGATGTTTCCATGCCCCCCTAGAGCCCCTGCAGGGGGGTTCACAGCCTGGGGTGCTGATGGCTGCCTCTTCTGAGGTGACGGCCAAGGAATTAAGGCTCCCCTTTATCCTGATAGGTCCCGCTTCCGCAAGGCCATTATGGCACTTAGAAGCACATGCCGGACGAGGCGAGCAAGTGATCCTGTGATTCAAAGCTCTTCCTACTTTGAAAAAAAATCATCCAAATGAACTGTGAGTTTATCGAAGCCCCGAAGAGCTAGTCAAACGTTAAAGCGGAGAACCAATCACAAGCCCCAAACTCCTATGGTGGGAGGGGAGGAGCTGGGGATTCCCCCTGAAAAGAAAAGCAGTTTCTAAGCAATAATTTGGAGGCAAGACACGGTTGTAAATAGAAAAGCTTCAATCTAGCCAAAAGGGGTGCTGAATAGCTCAACACAGAAATAAATAAATAGACTTACAGGCTTCTCAAACAAACTTTATTCTTGTGTAAACAATGTCGACCAGAGGAGACAAAATGGTGAAAAGGCTAAGATCTTCTCCAGGAAGTGCCGATTCAGTGATCTCAGCTCATAAACCGGAAGCAGTTACTGACTTCCCAAAGATGATGGCCACAGCGTTGTGCGTTGTGCCAGATGACTAATGTCAATTGCAAATTAGATTGTCTCCAGAAGCAAATGATGGACACAGCCAAGAAGACAGATGAGATGAATAAAGCAATGAAACAAGTTGACAATAAGGTGAATGCTATCAAACAGCAACTGGAGGAAGTGGAAAAAGAACGGATCTCAGATAAAGAACAATTGTTACAGGTACAAATGGAAAAATCATTATACGTCCTGCGATTCCAGGGTATCCCAGATTAACAAGGGGAGAATTTAAAAGAACTTTTGAGTGAAGCATTGACACCAATGGCAGATTTAAAATGGATATGGTTTACCGAACCTATCTGGATTTTATGAAGGAAAATAAACTGCCTGGTGAAATATTTGTTAAATTCTCCAAAAGATCAACCAGACATTCAATTTTAAAAGCAACAAATGGGAAACCACTGAAAATCAAAGGCGAAGAAGCGAAGATTTTAAAGGACATTCCATTTGAAATCCACAAGAGGAGATGACAGTACAAAAATCTAACTGCTTTTCTGCATAAGAACTCCACTCCCTTCAGATGGATATTTCCAGAAGGACTTCTCTTCAAATACAACAGAAAGAAAGAGAAGAATGATTCTGTCCAAAAAGCAAAAATTTTCATGTAGCAGCAACAATCCACATCCAAAGTCCAAGGGAAAGCAGAGGCCACCGTACAAACAGAGGAAAAAAGCGATTGTGACTCAGAAGCCAGTGAAATTATTTTTGGCAGCTCTGCAGAAGAATCTGTTTCTGAAATAGGAGAAGCAGCTCCAAAAACACTTAATGTCCAATAGAAATATGATAAAGCTAAACACAGGAAATAGTGACTTTATTGAAATCCTGAAAGTCCATGAGTGCTTTAAGATGCTATGATGCATCAAATAAGGATAAATGGGTTTGACTTAGTCTTAGTGAAATAAGAAAACCAGTATCATCCTGTTGTATGTTTGTAATCTGATAATAGTAGGAATGACTAATCAGTAATCCATATGTATTATGATCCTTGCTATATCTCTTGTTTTATTAGTGTTAGTTGTCATACCTGACCGTGACATTAGTACCCTGTATATCCCTTTCCTTTGTAGTATGTAGTAGAAAAGCAATAAAAAATAAAAGAGAACAGATTCAGACTGGATGATCTGCTGACTGAAAGGAGGTCTCGAGTTCTGTCGAGTTCTCACATGACAATGGCAAACATCCTATCCCTGGAAGTCACCCTTCTCTAAGGTGGCAATCATACAAAGCAAAACCTCAAAAGAACTTCTTCACTAAAATGGAAGTGGGCCATCTGATAATCCTTGTTCTCATGGTGCGAGACCGGGATCCTAAGGTATTGCTTTTTTACTTTACATTTGCTTAACATAAAGTATGAACGGAACTTACTTTACATTAAAGTGAAAATTACAAATTACAAACATATTTATTAGAATACACCAGCATTAAATCTAATATAAATAAGCATGATGTTCATTCCTCCCTTTTCCTGTCCTAACTGAAGTGTTCCAGCTGCCAGCCATGATCAGCAATGTGAATAGGAGTTGTATTTTGTTGTACCAGCTAAAATGAATCAAGGTTGAACAAGGCAATTTTCTTTTGTGGGCATGTTCTCTCCTTCCTCCATTTTTTCAGCCATCTATGACTGAACACTTTATATGTTAAACTTAAACTTAAATTCTCTGAAACCTTCTCTCACATCTACCTATAGTACTGTGTCTCAGTCTCCAGTGCAAATCCATATATTTCACACTCTTTTCTTTCTTTTTTTCCAGCTATCATTATCTTCTTTGTGATAGATTCAGCTGGGTAGCCATGTTGGTCTAAAGTACCAGAACAAAGTTTGGTCTAAAGTACCAGAACAAAGTTTGAGTCCAGTTTTGTATCTGATGCAGTGTGCTTGCACAGAAAATCCTGTCCTAACTGAAGTGTTCCAGCTGCCAGCCATGATCAGCAATGTGAATAGGAGTTGTATTTTGTTGTACCAGCTAAAATGAATCAAGGTTGAACAAGGCAATTTTCTTTTGTGGGCATGTTCTCTCCTTCCTCCATTTTTTCAGCCATCTATGACTGAACACTTTATATGTTAAACTTAAATTCTCCGAAACCTTCCCTCACATCTACCTATAGTGCTGTGTCTCAGTCTCCAGTGACAAAACCATATATTTCACATTCTTTTCTTTCTTTTTCCAGCTATCATTATCTTCTTTGTGGTAGATTCAGCTGGGTAGCCATGTTGGTCTAAAGTACCAGAACAAAGTTTGAGTCCAGTTTTGTATCTGATGCAGTGTGCTTGCACAGAAAAGCTTACACCTTGAATAAAACTTTGTTGGTCTTAAAGGTGCTAGGGGACTCAAGCTTTTATCTTCTTTGTGAAACTTAAAAAGTATTACCAGAAAGGCAAGGAAAGTTTTGAGAAACCCCAGTCATCTCCATGCACTGATCTTACCTGTGGAATCTTGTAAAGACCCAAGACGTCTGCCATGTGTGTGGAAGTATGCAAATCAAGTCCCCCAGTAACTCCTATTAGTTTTTTCTTGGAGCCACATTGATAGCTGGGAACAAACCTTTGTGATTTGAAAAGTAGGTCCAGAGTGGTACGATAATCCATCCTTGCTTCAAAGTAGTTGTCAAGGATATGGAACCCCAATGTGAGATTGGGCAAGATCTTGGGATTGTTATTAATTTCAGAGATGGCAAACACCAAGGCCAGGATGTGCTGGTAGAACTTGGGGACAAAACTGCAAATAAAATTGCCTTTGGTTTGACAGGACAATTATACAGGATATGAAATCACTGCATTATATAGAATTATGCAGGAAATCAAATAATTGAAAACACTAGCCATACACACATAAGAAAAGATTTGTTGGGACCTGTTGAGATGGGACTATGGGTAAAATCATAGTAAATTACAACATCTCAAATATATTTCTAAATAACCCGGGAAAGTTTATAAGGCACCCCTGTTATTTGTTTTCCTGTTGTAACTAACTGTTCTAAATCTAAAATTGTATAGAATAACAACACTTCAAAATGGTGAATAATGCTCTAACACCTAGTTATATGCAGATGTTTTACCTGTATCTCTTAGTCATATTCCACTTAAAGTGTATCATTCAAAACATTTCTAATAACCTGATGTTATCAAACAAATCTAAACAAATCAGAACGTTTTGGTCTCAATTTGCAAACTTATAAAAATGAACTACTGAAACCTACAGAGTGGACATGGCATGTAAAAGTTAATGTTTGTAGAGATCCAGCTGGCCAAGTGAGATTAGTCCTAATTTTTGAGCATGTCATTTGTTTAACAATATCCTAATTATCGGTGTCAGTGTGTGACAATTGGGTATATACAATGCATACACATCTACAAAAAAGGCAGACTATAAATGAAGTAAACGTTATGTCTGTCTGTCTGTCTGTCTGTCTATCTATCATCTATCATCATCATCACCACTACCACCATCATCACAACCCCCTATCATCACCACCACCACCACCACCATCTATATAATGTTATCTATGTTATATGTAGCCCAATTTCCTAATCAAGATGCAACAATCAGGTTTATAGAATTGGAAAACTATTGAAACACAAAGGCATGACGTGCCATAATGCATGAAGTGAAGTACAATGTAGAAGAGCAAACTAGGCGATCATGAAACAGTGCAATCCTATTCCCTTACAAAAGTGACCTGCTGAGCTATTCCATTATACTACCATTCTAATTCCTTTGCACATACACATTTTAAAAACAATACCCATCTCCTTTCAACTCAATCATACCGGCAAAAACAAACAAACAATACACTTAAAAATAAATATTGTTACATAGAGAAAACATTCCTTACTATAGGAAGTGAGTGGATTCCCGAGAAGGGTATTTGTCGAAGAAAATTTGGGGGGAATTGCCACCAATATGAGTTACGATTGCACCAACGAGCATTTCACCTGGCTGATACCACTCATGGGGAATCTGCAGGGTTTCTACCCATGCACATTTCGTAGTGTGGACGTCATGCACTTCATGAAAAAGCATGAGCAGCATCAAAGACTGCATCTTGCTGATGGCAAAGATTCTTTCAAGATGCAGAGTCTCCTGGTTTCCTCCAGCACTTCCAGAAGGTGGCTGGGATGGTAGCTGGCACTTTCAATTCAGTTCTGAGCCTGGAATTCAACAAGGTTATTGCCTGACAGAATGGGACACAGAAACCAAGTATTGAATGCCAATTGAGGATTGTTGATTAAAGATAAAGTCCGTTGACTTAGTTATGTCTCCAGCTCCTTGTATTAGTTATGAAGAATCCAGAGGTATTTTTATAACCACACATTTCAGATGCACATTTTTGATGTGTTGTGGAGATACATTGGAGTTTTGACCGGGTAGATCAATTATAGTCATTTTGATAATTACTGGGGGGATAATCACACCATGCTTTTTTTTTAGATCTGTGTACAATTCTTTGTGTCAAATTGTTGAAGCAAACACGGTTTTCAGATTGCACCAGAACTGGCAACATTCCATAATAAGACTTAGGAGGGAATCAAACAGGAAATGGGCATGCTTTGAACAGAAGTGGCAGTACTACAAGGGGATACTTCCTCCCCTGCAACCAAACCTCAATCATATCCGGCACCTGAGTCTAAATTCATGAGTTATCTGCAAGACATCATACAATTAGCATTCTTGGTAGACTAAGGACCAAACTAAACTATACTATGTGAAATGTATGGCTAGCTGTCACTATCCTTTCAGTTGCTAAAATTAACCAAGGGGCTCACATGTCATCTGGTTTCGAATGCAATTTCATGAGCTGAAATTCTAGCAAAAGTTGATGTTCACCAAGTGGAAAATGACAGGAATTTTATGGGATCAGGGGTGATGAAAATGAGTGTACCTAATGGCTCTAAACCAAAGTACATGTACTACCACTATTGCAAATGGTTGCAAGTCTCCTGAGTATTGTCTAGTGAAAGCATTTTTGCATTCCCACTCTGATTCAGTGATTCATTGATGGAGTGATGTCAGCAATCTCTCTTCACAATGTGTTGAAGGGGTATACAAGGAAGAGATGTGTTCTCTGTGATGCCTACTTTGGCCTTAAATCACTGAGCTGCAAACAAAGAATTCTCAAATTCTTCTACCATAATCTTTAAGGATATATTTTCTCTCCTCTGCTCCTAGTCTACTAGTTACATTAATGGAAGGTTGGATACTGCCTTTGGTGGGAGGGGCATTGCAATGTTGCTTCTTGCCTTTGATCAGAGTCCTGCCCCTCTTTCAGAACACTTGGCTACTGATTGGATATGTATATCCCCTCTCCCCCCAAGAAGGGCCAATAGTGCTTGACATTACCCTCCCCTTTTCCATTTAATCCTTATAACATACTCACCACAAGATCACCTTCAATCTATTGAGTTTCATTTTGTATGAGTCAAATACATCAAAAGCCAAGGGAGTATACATCGTATACTACATAGTATACATAGTAGTATACATAGTAGTAGCTACATGAAGTAGTAGTGGTAGTGATAGTAGTAGTAGTAATAGCTATAGTAGTACTAGCAGCCAGAGCAGCAGCAGTTGTCATATTACGAGCAGCAGCTAGATGCTCCTACTTTCTGGAAAGAACCTCATCTAAAACTCATGCTGCCGTGCTGTTGTATTTTATACGAGCAATCACAACTGTGTTGATGATGAAACAAACTGCTTTTGTATTTTACTCATGAAATGACACAATTCCCCCAAAAGAGGCAAACTTAGCACAGATAAAAATCCCTACTACTGAATCTATAATCACTTACAGAAAATACTATGACATACTTGAACGAAAACCATCTATCTCTTCTGGAAATTCCCTACATTTAAGGAATTACCACCATGAGTTATTTTCACTTTTGTTTCTTGTCTATCTTTGTCAGCAAAGTCCAACATTGTTTCAGCCCATATTTCAATATCTGGTGTAGTTGCTGAATTTAACTTTTGAAGAATTTTTCATGTTTTGTTTTTTAGATTTACATGGATCACTCAGAGGTACGATTCCTTTATTTCATTCATTAAACAGAGAGACAGTATGGATTCTCTGTAATAGGCTTTGAGCTGCTTAACCCCAATATTTTTCTAATGACTTCTGTTAGGGTGAATTTAAGATATTTTAACACTTCTATCATTGAAACCAGGCAAAAGATCCTGTTATACAAACTATGATTTCATCACCCATAATATTCTACATACAAATGATTATTAGGAGCAGACTACACTCTTT